GAGGCAAATTATTTCCTAATTTTACTCTCTCAATCCCTTGTTCCTAAGACTCTCTCTCTTCTAAACTTTCGTGTCAGTCCTCCTTTTTTTCTATCAAAACTTAGTGGGTATTGTCCTGCTTCTCATTCGTAATAATAATTGTAATACTTTGTTTGCTGATCTTTTATTTATGAATGAAACATATCTTGTTACTATTGACTTGTCTTATTACTTTATGCATTTTTACTCATGCTCAGTGTTGCCGAAGTGTCCATGAATTTTCTTGAACTGCATTTCTGTCAACTTGGTTTACTGCTTTAACCCATTTTTATGATGTCAAAAGGGAGAAATTATTAAGGTATGAGATCAATGTTAGCTACTTGAAGAGGGCATGGTCAAGCCGATGGGGGAAACTAGTGAAGGGAGAAGAAGCTAAACAAGTTTGTCATCATCAAAAAGGTGGAATTGCTATTTTATTGATGAAGTGAAGTTTTGATGATTTAACAAACTTTGGGAATAATGAAACAACGGGACCAATCCAATTACCTAAAGAATCATGTTGTTAGGGGAACTGGTGAAAGGGTGAAGAAGGTGAATAAGTCTATTTTCATAAAAAAAAAGGGAAATGGTAATTTGGAGCTGATGTTAAGTTTTGATGATTTAACAAACTTAAGGATCTAACAAGGGACCAGATCCAGAAAAGGGTCTTCTGGTATGGGACTGATGATAGGGGGAATGAATGAATAACTCAGTGTGAGGAATGTTTGTTTGTTGCCATCAAAAAGGGGGAATGTTGTATTCTAGGTGTTTTGATGATCCTCACAAATACAGGGATCCGGTCCCTTTATAGAGTGCTCTCGTCCACGTTCAAAATGGTGTACAACTGTAAAGTTGTCTTGTCAGGTTGGTTGGTGGAAAGTCAAACGTACTTCACCAATATGAAGGGCGGACGAGGTTATTTGTTTCAGTGGTCAAAACTCTTGTTGGTGATTGATATATACAACAATAAATAAACAACATTATTCAGATCAAATAGAGAGAGCGAGCAAATCTTTTCAAGAACTCACAAAGAAGACACTGCAAGGGACCTAGTCCCAGAAAGACTACGTACGTGAAAAGAACGAAAAGACAACAGTCAGAAAGCTACCAACTTTGATGTGGTTGGTGCACGTTTTCTTAGAGAAGCATGCTCTCAGTCAATGAAGTTGTCCCAAGATGTTTATGTCCATTTGATATTTTCTCTTCTCACAAGACACAAACTCAAGATTTGGCAAACAAAGATTTGAATTTCTGAAAATTCATAAGCTTACAAAGAAGAAGCCATAGAAGAAGACTATTCGTACTCAACAAAGGACTTAATGAAGTGTTCAATTTTTTTGTTTTGTTTTGAGCTTTGTGTCTTATGTGCTTATATTGTAAATCTACTCCTAAGTTATGAAAGATAGTAGATTGTTTGCTTGTCTAAGTCTTTAGTTTAAGTCATATTAACTAGAGTAATTAATCGAATCATCTGTATTTTAGTCAAGACTCCTGATATCATTGTTTTGATGTTCTCTTGGGTAGAGTTTCCTAGGAGTGTCAACTAGAGTTAGTTGATGTGTGGTGCAGTAGAGTTGTTGCTCGTTTATGCTCTTATCTTGGAGATCGGAGTTGGTGGCTACAATTACCTTGCTTGGGTTCTTGATGTCTAGATCAACTAGAGTTAGTTGGTTTAGTGGGCAATAGAGTTGTTAATTAGATTTCCTTTGCAATAGAGTTGCCACAGTAAGGGAGAAGGGATTAAAGAGTTTCTATTCCTAGGTTGCAAGAGTTATTCCTAGGTTGCAAGAGTTTGTAATCTGAAACTTTGCTTTGTTTGAGTGAGATGGTGTTTGGGTTAATATCATGTGAGTACAGGTCATGGTTTTCACTGCCCTTGATCAGGGGGATTGCACATCAAATCATTCTGTCTGATTTACTTTAAGCTATTTATTTTTTGCACTATTATTCTGTCGGGGGACATGGTCCAGTGATCACTTGTGGACGCATATATTCTAACACAAGGGTCTTTCAAAAACAATATCTCTACTCCTAAGGGTAAGAGTAAGTTTTGCATGCACACAACTTTCCCAGACCACCACTTCTAGAATCATACTGTGTATGGCAATGTAATAACTACAATCTATTTATCCTTTGCATTTATTTAGTTCTTAACAAAAGGTTCTACTAGGAGCTATCTTATTAGTAAACTAACGTGAATTTGTCTTGTTAACAGGTCATGTGATGTCATGAATATACTTCCTCGAAGATAGTAGAGGGCGAGTTTGAAGCAACGGAAAATCATGAAGAACAAGTTAAAGTAGAAACGAAACCTAGTTTGTTTTGCAAATATAACTGTTTAAAGATAATGCCCTTTTTACATCAATTTTATTCTTTTTTTTAGGTGTAAAAAAGAAATTATTGTCCCACTATTTGAATGTGTATATTGATAATATGGTGTTTCATTTCTTTGTAATTAACCATGATGTTACATATATATATGTAACATATTTAGGTATTGATTATTCCATGTGTTTGGATGTGTTAGTACGTATATAAAAGAATATGACTAATTTCTATCTCATTATTTTATCTATTCAATAAAATATATAACTAGCATATTCGATCCAACACCTATTGGTTTGAGATATTACATAGAACCAATCCTTCTTCTTTGGAAATGCAACTATAAACTCAAGTTGTTTGAATCCAAGTTTCGAGCAATTGGCTAAGTAGTGACCGTCCTTGTCTCTTCTGTAGTAGTGTAATCATTATAAATAATTATTTAGTGGACATGAAGAAAAAGTACTAATAATAGTTGAACGACTTTCTTTATTGCATGATTCTTGTAAAGACCCTCGTTTATCCATTGCAACAAGGATGACATTAGTTCAGTTGGACCCTCGCCGTCAATGTTAAAACCTTCAAATGAATATTGTTGCTTCACATCACAACTGGCGACTTTCTTCTCTTTCTTTTTCTCTTTCTCTTTCGCCTTCTCTTTATCCTTCTCCTTCTCCTTCTCTTTCTCCTTGCATTTTGAGGTTGAGTGTGATTCTACTGGAGCTGTAGTCATTGATTTTTTTCTTTTACTAATTATAGATAGTGATTGGGAAATAGATTTTTTCAATCTCCTACACTTCAAAGGCTGTGAAATCTTCTTGGATGTATGGAAATCAATATTACAAGTCATTTCCTTAAAAATATTAGTGAGTTCTTTCAGACGACTAATAAAATAATCATGTTGCTGCTCACATTCTTCGTATAGAGAAAAAGAGCATTTTATGTTAGAAGAGGAAGCAACACCAACAAAAGATTGAGTTGTTGCCATAGATGAAGCTTCTTGTTTCATTTGATCTACAAGGTAAATAAAAAAAGGTTGAGAGTTTATAATTGATTATAAAATAATAATGGGTAGCAATTTATACTTATGTTGACACAGATGGACATTATGTTGCCACAGATGTACCTTCTGTAGCCACAAATGAATCGTCTGTTGCCACGGATGGGAAACTTTCTACTACAGATGACCATTTTGTTGCCCTAACACATAGGTGACATGTTTCAACATATGACAACTCTGTTGAAATATGTACCAACATATCACTAAAATGTTGCAACATACGACACATCTTTCAACAAATGAAATATATGTTGGACAACTGAACAAGACTATATTTCTAAAATCATATGAACAAAATGGTCACAAAAAGAACAACAAAAGCCACAAAAAATGACTTTTCACTGAATGTTAACAATACATATACATTTCCTCAAAATTAGGGTTTTTTTGGGTTTGTTGTTTTTCCTTCAAAAACAATAAATAATAGGTACTATTACACCATTATTCAATTTTCACATCTATAGAACGGTTTATTGTTCATTATTCGAAAATTGTAAAATCTTTCAAAAAATGACTTATCTATTTTAAGTCAATCATGATCTTCAGTTCAGAAAGAGGAGAGCTCGTCATGGCTGGAGATGAGGAGGAAGATAATGTCAAGATAGTAAGATTTTTTTGGATTTTCTCAGGAAGAAGAAGAAGAGAAGAGAGAACGTTGGAAGAAGAAGAACAAGAGAAAATTATATTTGTTTTTTTACTTTTTTTTAAATGGTTTGGATAGAATTATAAAAGTTGAAAAAATAAGTGTTTTTTTGTATTTTATAAAAGATTAGAAAGTTTTGAAAATATTAATTTGGTCCCAGATTTACTTATTTACATTTTTAAGTGGATTTGACCATTTCTTGGTCAAAGTGACATCAAAAACAAAACCAAGACTTAATTAACACATTTCATTTAATTTTCTGATCTTACAACCCAAGAACCTACGTTAATGACCAATGGAATTTCAACCCCATTGTTCTTTAAAATACTTTTCACGCCTACCATGTTAATTTTATCACGTTTCCAATTCTATTTCTATTTCAATTATAATAAATAACAAGGATTAATACCCACCCAACTATCCATGTTTATAGAATAAAATTAGGAATTAGATCAAGTTTTCACTTGAAGGTGTAGACGCTTCAGTTTCTTTTCGTAACCGTGTGTCTAGTTTATCTTCCTTTCTTCTACATATTATTTACTACCCTAACTATTATATACGACTAATTATAAAACTGATGAAAGTGGCCCAAGGTGTAGACGCTTCAGTTTCTTTTCGTAACCGTGTGTCTAGTTTATCTTCCTTTCTTCTACATATTATTTACAACCCTAATTATTATATACGACTAATTATAAAAGTGATGAAAGTGGCCCACTAGTAATTTTAATAATATTTTCTTTAACCACCAAGAAATTAATTATTAAAATTACCCCATTAATTATATAAGTGTAGATACAAATAGTCCAAAATACCAATTTAGAATCTATTGGAAGAGTCTTTTATAAGATAAAAAGCTCTAGTAATAAAAAAAAATTATTGGGTCATTACATCAGATACATATATAACTATCATTCGTCCTCAAACGATCAAAAGAATGTGATGGTAAGAAAGGGTACTTTAATTGGTAAAATGGTGTGGATATCTTCTATGCATATGATTCTCAGTCTTTGAGGTGGACTCCTCAATCAGACGATACTTCCATTGGAACTTCATAGAGGCAATCTCCTTCGACCTCAACTGGCAGATCTCCCTATCTAGAATAGCTACAGGCTCATCATAATAAGACAAATTCTCATTAAGTAGGATTTGAACCATAACGAATATTATAGTTCCCATCACCATGTATTTCTTCATCATAGATACTTGAAAAAACGGGTGCACTCGTAACAATCCCCGAGGCAAAGCCAATTCATATGCCACGTCTCCCACATACTTAAGAACTTCAAATGACCCAATATACCTCGGACTAATCTTACCTTGATTATCAAAACATATCACACCCTTAATGGGTGAAACCTTTAGCAACACTTGCTCTCCCTCCAATGATCCATCAAACTCAATCATGACTCTACAAAGTCTGTCCTTCTAGCCAGGAGCTAGAGCAGGAATCTCATCATCTGGTGTAGCACAAGGTGCACTGTAAATGAAGGTGATATACCAGGATGCACAAAACGCTGAGTCAATGGAGGCGTGTCGGCCATAGCAAGTGATTGCTCGCTACTAGAATCTCCAATCCTTATGGCAGATAACTGAGGAGATGTACATGTGGGAGATGGAGTACCATCCGATATTCTACCTGCCGATAAGGGTCGTGGTCGATGAATAGCCTGTAAAGGTAGGTCCTCGTAGAGCTGTGGAGGCAATGCCTCTGAGGTAGAGAAAGCACCGACTGGTTGATGATAATTAGGATAATATGCCTGAGGATCCGTCGTACTAAACAGAATAGCAAATAAATGAGTATCATGATTGATGCGCTTTGGCATAGAAGAAATAGATCCTGGAATATCATCAGGATCTATGGGTCTCATAGACTTCTTCTTTTTAGCCTTATTAGTCTGGCTAACTCCAAGATGCTCGCGATCTCTATCACTGTTACCGCCTGATGACATCTATATGCAAATTTATATGTATAATATGTAAAAATCATAAATTAAATAAAATTAGCAAAATAAATTAACTTAAATATATACTAGCTTTCATTCTACTACTATTCTTCCTCACTTGTTTCAATTCCATCATTCTCCCATTCTTCTTCCTCAGTTGTTTCATTTTCATTATCATCCCATTCTTCGTCATCAAATGATTCATTTTCCTTATTCTCGGATATTTCATCCTCAACATTCATTATCTTGTCATCAGATACTTCTTCTAATATGTGTTGAGGATGTTGTAGTATGGTTTCCAATTCAACATCAACTTGTTGATGAACAATTTCAACATCATTTTGATAAGCCACATCTAAGACATTGTCAATTCCAATTCTTCCCATATGTTTAGTTTCTAGAACAACCCACCAATGAGCTTTGTCTCTACACAATGGAATGGAGCGTAATACACTTGTTTAGCATTTTGTACAATAATAAAAGGATCATAACTAATGTATTTCCTGGTGTGCTTAACTTCAATTATATTATGTTGATGGTCCACCTTTGTGCCTCTATGTGATGGGTCAAACCACTCACACCGAAACAATACAATCTTCTTCTTAGGCCAACCTGAATACCTCACTTTAATAATCTCATGAATGACACCATAATATTCAATAGTTTGGCCAGTACCATAAACTTCACTTTTTATGTAGACACCGCTATTATTTGTTTTCTTGTTCCTAGAAACATCTTCAGTTTGAAACTTAAAACCATTGACACAATAGTTATTCATTGTCAGTACTTGAGATTCAGGTCCAAGTGCTACATCTTTCACTAATTGCAAATCTTGGACACTTTAGAATTCATTGTAAACCTACGTGACTGTTATTTCAACTAATATAATTAAGTATAACAAGAATATATTAGTAAATACTTAGTGATTCAATGTAAGCTTGCACACTTACATAGTTTGTTAGCCATTTGGAAAATTTTGTATAAATGGCTTCATTACCCTATGCGTTTACGAACAAGCTGATCATTTTACATTCAAGTATTTCGTTAGTTAATGAACACTTATTAGTATGTAATTTGATAACACACTTTTAACACTTACTTTACAGATGGTTGAATCTCTGGACAATTAAGCAAAATATGTGTCACAACTGATTGCATTTCCATATTAGTGAAGCCTTGCTTTCCACGCTTTTTAGATCATCGACCATTTCAATTAAATATTGATATCGGTGGAAATAAAGGATCAATATCGCCTTCATCATTGCGATTGGGCCTGTTTATCCAACATGACACATCATCACCAAAGTAATAAGAATAAAAATCACCAGTTTCTCTCCTAATATGACCTTGAACAACTAATCCTTCGATCTTTCCCCTTTGCTTAATTGTTTGCTTGGAACTACCAATTTTTCTGCATGTATATATGTATATATATGTTAATAAAAAACGTGGTGAATATATATAACTTAGTGAATATTTCAAATGGATACCTCTAAATTGGATACATCCATCTTGTTTAAACCATATCTCCGAGGTGGGCCTCTTGTACAAGGTGAATTGTAAGATGCTCTATCACATCAAAGAAACCACATGGAAATATCTTCTCCAACTTAGTAGTAATAACAAGAATATTTTCCTCCATCCTGTCTAAACTACTCTCCAACAACTTTCCAAAAAACAAATCATTAAAAAAATGACTTATCTCTGTGATTGGTTTCCATATCCTTTCGGGTAGATGGCTAAAAGCGATAGGAATTAAAGTTTCCATGAACACATGACAATCATGACTTTTCATACCTATCAATTTTCCTTCATTCATATCTACCCGCTTTCGTAAATTCGAAGCATAGCCCTCCGGCATCCTCAAATTTGGATTGTCTTTTGTCTTACCCTTAACATCCATCACTCTGTTGAACAAACTGTCAAAATAATATTTTTCAATGTGCATCACATCAAGATTATGTTGTAGAATATTGTCCTTCCAATACGGCAACTCCCAAAATATGCTTTGTTTGGTCTAATTATGTTCAACACCATATCCAGGAAGTCTAGTAGGTGAAGCTTCTGTAACTTTAGGTAATTGAGAAACTCTCTCCCAAATTTGATGCCCTGTGAGTAATGGAGGTGGGGGTCACTTTCAATCTTATTTTTGCTAAATGCATTTTTCGTCTTTCCAAACTCATGGTCCATTGGCAAGAACTGGCGATGACAATCAAACCATGTATTTTTTCTGCCATGCTTTAAAGTGAATGCCTCACTATTTTCCATGCAATACGGATGATGATTATCGTGACCAACGACACTAACCTACGGTATGAGTGTCTACGATCGTCGATAGTATAGTAGTCCAACTAAAGGTTGGGGTCATGTCCCAAAGGAGTGGTTTTGATAATTGATAGAAAATTAAAATTAAGCTCTAACTAGTCATATCTAAAGACATTAACGAACAAAAACATGGTAAATTAAACAGGGCGAGACGAAAGTGTCAAATATCAATATGGGGGTTTTGTCACAAGTAGTAAAATAGCAAAAATTAACAAGAAAATCAAGTATGGGGAATTGTTCTTGAGGTGTCACCGCGATACAAGTTGAGATAAGTAGTTGGGTACATGCTTTTGAAAGGAAATTTGTAAGATAATAGTGACTAGGCTAAGCTTTAAATGGAAATAAGTCCCCTCTTGGGCAACTTACCCCGTTTCAAATGTGTTCCTCTCGGACACCCATTTGCCGCATGAAGACCAGCCTACACCTTACCCCACTCACTCTCTCGAGCTGAGTGTTAGGATATGAGACTAGGGCTCACCCTCTCGGGCTGAACCTCATGTCGACCCTCTCCTTAGGCCATCAGTCTACTGGTCTTGGTTTCACGACCTCCCTCTCGGGCAAGCCGAAAACACATGAGTGGCTTTGTATTTGCAACTACAAACCCTTTAGATTAAACCTCAACCACTAGGTGAAATCACCATTAAACTACATCTAACCTATCAGCAAGCAAGACCCAACAATAATATCAACACATATTTGTTAAATCACACCCCAAGAATGGGGGTTTTAGCCACACATAAAGAAATAACGAAATACACCTAAAATGATAGTAAAATCAAATGGGTATAAGAAATTAAACCTTGATTTAAGTAAAGAAAGAAGAATGGAGAAGACCCACTTCCAACTTGGGGAAGATGAAATCCTTCTTTCTTCAAGTCTCCCAAAAACCCTCTCCAAACTTGAGAGAAAAATATCCAAAAAGTACTATCTATTATGGAAATTAAAATAAAAGTTTGACTCTCTAAAAATAATAATAAGTTCGGTATTTATAGACTTCAAAAAATACCGCTGGCAGTTCTTTCGGTGAAGTTAGTCGATGTCACCGAATGACTCGGCGACTCGCCTTTCTTCTGTTTCATCGCCCGTTTCATGCTTGCCTTCAACATCTTCACGTTCTGGACCATTGGGCGGTATAGTAGTGCGTCGTGGAACTATTCAGTGAAGCGTCGACTACTCATTTTATCACCTTTTTGATCCTCTTCCTTCAGGACTTCGTATACTAGAACAAAGGGCGGAATCTGTCCTTTCGGCGAATCGCCAAAGGTTCTTGGCGATGCTCATGTTTCAGCTTCTTCATTATTTTCAGCTTTTTTGTTCCTTTTTGCACCTAAGTGTCTATGCTTCCACTAAAACTTCAATTACCTGAAACTTAAGAGTTTTCATCAGATATTGAGAAAAAATAAGCATTCGAGGACACTATTTCTATCAAAATAATGCCCTAAATGAGTCCAATTTATGGACTCATCAACACCCCCAACTTAAACTTTCGCTTGTCCTCAAGCAATCTCAAGTTCAGCCGTTCAAAAAAGGTGTCTCAAAAAGTGTTACACAAGACTCAATCATGAACATACACAAAAAGATTCAAATTACTTATGCAAAGATCAACTGTGCACTCAAAGATTCAAGTTGTGACACACCATTACTAGAGATTCTCATGCTCGCAATACTTGCTACTTGTGCGAGTACAAGCTCGACAAAAATTATCTAAATGCCCTCACATGAAGAATGATTCCATATTCACACACAGAGGTTAATCAATTCAAGATCAAGAATAAGATGCAACGCTCACACTAAAAAAGAGGAACACAATGCATGCTTTCACCCATAGGTTTGCCCTTATTTTCCAATCGACTTTTGATTCGACTTTCTGAAGATCAAAAAGGTATTTCTAAGGCTTGTAATGGGGATTAGTGCTAAGGTATGGTCATTTAGGCTCAATGGCTCCTTCCTCATGGGATGTGGTATTCTCAAGGCATTCCCTTCTCCTCATTTATCAATTCTTTTTTTCTAATGCTTCTAAGTCACGTGTTTATTCACCTTCATGGCTTGCTTGGAAACCCGATTTCCTTCACACCTCATTCCTCATTTTTTTTATTGAAGGGGTTTCCACTTATGCAATCCCATGGGTTAGGGGGG